AAATTATTTCACATTTTGAATGTTACTGATTATTGTTATGTTATGTTAAAAATTAAATTAAAAATTTTGTGTGCTTATGTGCTTTAAATTAATATCTTCATTGTGGTACACCCTTGAATTTGGTATAAAAAAGATCTTTTATGTGACCTAACATTTATCCCCTCGATCCATTAAATTTTTTCCATTGTAATGACGTCACGGAATCCGCGATTATGTCACAGATCTCCTGTGAACATCAATTGATAATCTTGTAGGACCAATTGGCATTTTTCAAATAAAAATATGCATTACTTCCTAAATTATAGGCTGTCAAAAACATCTTGGAACACCCTGTCTAGAGAAAACCAAATCAAAGTGAAGATAAGTTAGGAACTTGTTAAACCATACGGCTGGGAATAAGATCCGCCAGGAAAACGTATTACTCTTCTGTTCGATATTATCGTGGACGAGAAATTAAGAGATATAAAAAACAACACAACTCATAACATGGAACTCTCACGGTAGAAATACATTTCACATAGAGATTTAGAGAAGACCCATTTAGAGAACTGCTAAAGGAGGATTACACTTAGAAATAAATGTAGTGTTGAGATAAAGAAGTCATTTTGAGAACTTTTCATTTTACCTTTTATCTGTACGCTTAATGACCTTGATCTAATCATTTCAGTGATGGTTTATAACACTGTACTCGATAAGAACCAGTCTCGATAATAAAATAATAACTTCTAGACAAAACTTGGCCTTATTTATCAAGATTCAACAATCCTTCTGTAACAATTAAATGTTTCAGTTTCCACAATGAAATCTTGATTTGGTTTAAATTTTTTTGTTCTAGGCTTTTTGAGATTTACAAACAACTAGTAATCTAAAACGTTCAAATCTTAAAAATACAGTGGATTCAGAATCAATTCGAAAGCTATGAAACCTTGCAGAGCCTTTACAGCGTGATTGCCTATCCCATGCTATGAGTTTTTGAATAGTACAAACGGTTTAAAAAGGCGAGAGAGGATATTGAAGATTACGAGCGCCCCTGGTGGCCCGTGACAGATGGTTTGAAAAGAAGTCAATTAAGTATTAGGGCTATTGCTGGACATATGGCTCCTTCCGGTCGAGGAGATAAGAATACGACCGGGGCCAGAAGACCCTGCCTGTCGTAAGAGGCGACTAATGGGCGGATATGAGAGGTGGAGGGCCGTCGTTTGAGGTGTCGGGTTGGTAGAAACGCACAGAGATGCTTAGTCATCTCAGTCACCGGTCTACATTCCTAGTATCCGAGACGAGCGCCTCGTGGGACCACTCTACTCTCATTTTCCACAAGAGCCGGGTGTGGTTAAACGAGCCAGGTACGGAGGTTCCCCAGAAGCTGACACCGCGGAAGGGGAACGGGTGACCCAGCGCGTAACCACACCTCGGAATGATCCAACGAGTGGTAGAGGAGTGATTCCTCGGCGGCGACCTGTCTACGTGCGAGGTGGTATTCCACTGCTGCGTCTGCAAGGCTGCGTGCCTTTCCGCCTCCGGGGGGAGGACTCACGGAAGGGTGGCGTGACCCGCAACACAGGTACTACGGGGGAGGTGGAGCCACACGATGTGCAAGCATCGTGCCACCTCCATTTGGTGTCGGACTCGTAGGGGCAGTGGCGTGCGCTAACGGTCGTATGCCGAAAGGCCAGGTAGACCAGGGTCCTGCCAAAATTTATTTTGGAGGGCACAAAGCTCAGCTATGCTGGACATATGGACATTAACAGACAAATTTTCATGAGGAATTAAATATGAGGAAAGTGTGTGCTAAGCTTGTGTCCAGACTCTTAACTGCAGACCAGATGCATCATAAAAACATTTGTTGTGATACCCTGAAATGCATTAAGGTCAAAACATGGATGCTTCCTCATTAGCAAATGTTCATTGTAACTGCCTTATAATATACATCGGCAAAATCATTTAGTGGACAAATGCCCAATTTGGATGATAAGAATGTCCAGCATAATTTGTGTCTGAGCGACTATGTTATGTCAGTATACCATATCGTAATCATTGTTTCCGACAGAGCAAAATACAAATATCACTTATTGAGTCATTTGAATAAACAGTATTATTTCCTATGAGGAAAAAACGTCTGCTTGAGTTCAAATTTTGACAGGTGACTTACTGATTGATGTGATCAAATTAGAACCATAAAGCATACACGCGATTGAAATAAAAATGGTGCATTTCTTACAAAACATTTCTGATATATGCCAAACCATGCTTGAAAAATATTTTACCCCTTGTAATTGGCCTTTCAATTTGGATAATTTTTCCTCTTTTCTTGTGATGAAAGGGATTACCCTCGCTTTTAGATTTAGAAAGACTATAGTTTTCATTCGATTTCTCATTTTGTCGTGGTTCTCTTCTCGAAGATGCTGACATTCTTGCAGAAGATTTTCTTTGTGAAGATCTTTCTCTACGGACTGTACTATCTTCGGGGTTCTTTGGATTATCTTTACTTGTATCGTCACCATTCTTTTGATTATCATTACAAACTGTGTTGTTTTTACACTCAACTGATTCTGAATTGTTATTTGAGTAAAAACTTTTATCAATTTTAGTTTTTTCAATTTCGATATTGAAATCTTTTATACTACCTAAACTATGACTTTTGCTATGTCTCTTTGGTCTATTAGTTACGCAGTACTCATTGCCTGCTACTTTAATGATCATAGTCGTATTGTCTATAGGTTGTCCTGGGCAGACTTTATTTGGTGATTTTTTGAGTATAGGTTGAACTGAAATAAAGCAATTAGTGGGATTCTGAATCTGTGATAAAATTAACAATGTACAACAGTTATTACTTATATTTTTAGATAAATATGTAGAAGAAAAATACTACATCCAGAAATAGACGCCACATTTCTTTTAAAAGCTGACAGTTTTGAAAACTTATCCACATACACGAAAACAAGAAACATAATATACAAAGGTGGTTGTATACCCATGTGATACATTGTTGAATATACTGAAAAATTTCTTTTGCACACACTAGATTCTCAAAATGTGAATATGATACTGAGGGCTTCATTCGAGGTGGTTCCTAATAAGACTAGAATACATAGTTTTAAGTGAACCAATTTTGTGAAAATAATGAGAATTTCTCCTAATAAAACCTAGCATCTTTAAGGATTTATTTACAATATATATGATATGGTTAGAATCAGTAAGTACAGTATCTCAGTAATTTAAGGGCTGAAACAAAATTTAATTTCATTAGATTAGACATATAGCAGTCCACAAATCTATCCAAGTCATGCTGACAACAGACCATCCTCAGACTGAGATATGACCTTCAAAAATTTCAGATCACCTGCGAAAAGTAAAAAAATGTCTTGATGTGAAGAAGACACTATTATTAAATAAATAATAAATAACAATGGGCCAATATGTGATCCCTATAGTACCCCTGAAGATTTCCCAAGAAATGAAATTGTTCACCCCAACCCTCTGAGTCAATTAGCTTTAAATTCATCCAATTTTTTCACCAGATATTCCATAAAAATTGAGTTTGTTGATTAGAAAACTATGAGGAGCTCCATCAAATGCTTTAGAGAAATCCTTATAACTACAGTGAACTTTAAGACCATCTAATTCTCAAGATCAGCCACAACATCAGCCAAAACAGTTTAATATTTCAGAAGAAATTTAGCATTAATATTTCAGCAGGATAGACTTTGCTTAGTTTTTGAAAAATATGACATGTGGTATATATTCCTGGACAGAGATTGTATTTGTTTTATGTTAATATGTTTGTTTATACATCTAATGTAAAAATATGACGCTTGTTCACTTTGTTTTAGATGTGCAAAAAGGGTAACCTCACACCTGGTTAGAAAAAAAAGATAAAAGAGTCAAAAAGTAACATTACTGTAGTCTGTATTATACTGTTTTCTGTTCCCAACAAAATCTCCCTTATAGTACAAAATCCCACTGCAGGATCACTATGTTCATAACAGAGTTCATCAAACTCACATTTTTACATACATTTAAAATTAGGAGAATACCTTGATAATAGGCTGCCAGTCAAAAAGTGGCTGCAAATATTTTTAATTCAATTAATAGCAATTAGTTTTTGACAAATATATTGCATTCATTTATTTTTAAAATAAAATACACTGCTTATGACATAAATATTAATGTTTTTTATATCAAATTAAAGCAATTTTTTGTCAATATGATGGTATAAGGTTGCCTGAGAAAAAGGGTTGATAAATAGGGTTATCAGTTGTTAAAAACATGAGGTATGAAAGATAATTTAAAATAGAGTTAGGGTGCAATGACACTGGTTTGACAAGTGATAATATGTATATTCTTATATATCTATCGATACATGCTTTGAAAGTCACACTACTGACCCGTCAAACCAATAGCGCTATATGCTAGCTGTTTTTTAATTTTATCTTTGATAGCTCACATTTTTAACAGCTGAAACCCCTAATTTTCAACCATTTTTTCGCAGGCAAACTTATATCAGCATATTTTAGAAAAAAAATAGCTTTAAGTAATGTGATATAAAAAAACAGCATATTTTATTTAAAAAATAAATGGACGAAATAAAATTTTTGTCAAAAGATTAATTATTATTAATTGAATTAAAAATATTTGCGCCTACTTTTTGAGTGACAATCTATTATTAATGTGCTCTCCTAATTTTAAATGTATGTAAGAATGTGAGTTTGATTAACTACTTTATGAACATAGACTTAGGCTATTATCTTAATCTGTTTCATGGACAGTTTTTATAGCAAATCAATGTTATGATTTGCTACACAAATGTGAATTACTTTGATAAAACAATTTCAGATAAAAAGAAAAGCTGTAAATGTAAAGGAATACAATTAGTAGTATTATATGCCACTACCCAACATTATTATGTGCTTAAAGATTGTATTTTTTACAGATTCAGAATCATTAAGTTCATATAAAGTTATTAGAAATATAACAAACTGTAAAATAGATATAAAACTCACTATCTGTTTCTTCCTCTGGTGTATCTATATAATCTATGTCATCTGCCAACACTGACAAATGTTTTTCTATCCTCTTAACAGTTGTTAGGCCTCCATTGGGACCCGAGTAGCACCCAATGACTGTGTTGGGCCCATTACTGTAAATACCTAACTCATAATTAGGCAAATCTGTCGGATTTTTCCCATATATAATCGGCGGACCTTCCTTCACGCTGATATGGCTAAAAATTAAAATAATTAATACATAATATGCTAACATATCCAATTTTTGGCTTACCCTTGCAAATATTTCGTTATAAACGTGTTTTCATTGATGTTATGCCTTTTTCTAGGTTCATTATGGAAACTTAATTGTCTAAAATAGCTAGAAACCCGTTTTCTAAGCGATGGCATAGCTGGAATAACGCAAAATGTAAATAAACACAACCATTACATACGTTAACCTCAATTTACCTGCATGTATTAATTTTCATATGTTAGCTTACCACTATTAGGCGATTAAGAAAATTGTTAAATCATGTTTATTTTAGTAAAAATGCTGTTGACTAACATCTGGTTATAGCATCTTTCATAAAAAATATTAAATTATTGGTCACACCCAAATTCATACATACATTCTCATTTTTGGAACTTGTGCAATGCAATGTTTTCGTCATCTCTCATTTTAATTTCGTTTATTAGACAAGGAAACTTAATTCCGATATGTCTAAGATTCCGTTCATCGTGAAATATGCGTGATCTAATTTTTATTTTCGTAATTTTGTCTGTTGATACACGAGCATTTAGATATGAACTAAAAAATTTGGTCAAAAGCACAATAAAACTGCTGAAATTATGATGAATGTCATTTATTTATACCTGCTTATAGTAGCGTCACAGAATTCGTGATTAAATAGCGTCGGATTTTATTGTGTGTATCAAAATAAAAAATTTCGCCTTTTACATAGGTAAGCATTGGCGACCCCAATAAATTGAATTAAATCCAATTCAGTTTGTCTTAGTTCAATTCCATTCATAGAGAAATAAAAATAAAACACGATCTGTCGTTTCATTATTTTTTTTTTGTTTTTATTTTTCACAACTCTGCGCGATCCATTTCACCGATCAAAGCATTCCGCCAGTGCTCGCAATTAGAAAGCTTCTCCTTTTTTGCGTGCTATATCAGAATTATCCGACGTTGGCGATCACCATTGCGAAGGCTTCTCGATCTTCTGCAATATGGAATAATTGTCCCGCATTTGATATACGAGTCCATTGACGAATGTTCCTTAACCAAGAAACCCGTTTCCTTCCTACACCTCTATATACTTTTAGCGTCCACACTTCCTCACTATACAAAAGGACGGACCAAACATAACGCTTAATAAGAAAGCGTCGGAAATTTTGATTACTATATATAATATTACACTTGAAATTTAGGATGGCGTATACTTTTTTTTCTAATTTTTGTTCTAAACAAAATAATGAATACCAGATTTCAACGCCCTCCAGGTTATTTGGTGGTGCCGCAGCACTCATTGTAAATATGCCACTGTTTTCTTATTTTACATTTATAGGAATTATTTATAGGAATTATTATAGGAATATTAAAAATATTTATTTTTTACTTCATGGACGTATAAAAAAAGATATACGTCCATGATATACCGGGTGGTGAATCGTCAAACGGACCATAGCAAACTCAATGGGAAATTTTAAATTGTTGAATTGCTGCTTCCCTAATTATTTTAAATCAAAAGTCGTAAAAAACTATTTGTAGAGGACTAAATTCATCGAGCAAAAAGATAAAAGAGGGAATCTAATCCATGGCCTGGAATCTTATATGAACGACTTGGTTCATTCCCCCATCACTTTGACCCCAGCGAGTTAATAAAGAGAAATGACAGCCTATCTCTCTCACGAAGACGTTAACCAATCATAAACCAAATAACATAATCAAACGAAGCAATGTCAATTCTGTCAATCCAAATTAATGACAGATCTTCCGTTTGTTTACAAGTTTTCAATTTTATTTTATTATCTTTAACTTTCGTTTGCATTTTTTATTCTTAGTAATTTTAATTTAAATTTGGTTACTTAATTTTTAAAGTTTATTTTGAGTTACTTATTGTAGCAAAGAATTTTTGTGTTGTGCTAGTAACAAAACTAAACATAGTGAATTATTGTATTGTTCGTTGTGTACAAATCATGGAAAAATTACAAAAAGAATGATAGTAAGTTGTCAGAAAGCAAAAAATAATAGTATTTAACTTCTGCAAATATGTGTAATAAATATTATGTAATTATTTTATAACTGTTTTATCTTAAACAAATAAATATACGTATATCTAGAAAAAATTGTGCATCTTATATCCTTTTTCTTATATCCTATTTTCCAATAAATTTTAATTAGTAACGAAATATCCCACAAGAGGCGCTAAAGGGTATGTATGTAAGGGGTGTTCATTCGAATTTGCCGCCAAAAGATGATTAGTATTGACCCCAGCCGCAAGGGGCCTAATGAACGAAATTTATACATTGAGTTGCCTATCTATTTCTACTATTATATTAGGTTTGTTCCTACAAAGAATCAGAAACTAGTTCAGGGCAGTTTCTGACTGCTGCACAATACGCATGTGCGAATTTAACCAGCCGCGAACTAGTTTGTGATTTTTGTTGGAACAATATCCTATCGAGCTGGCAAGTTGCCTATATTAAATAAACAAATTTTGTGTTATTTTATTCGCTGTAACAAAGTAAATTGTTTCTTCTTTAAAATGGAAAACAATGAGGAAGGTAAATCTTTATAATTATTATTATCATGCAGTTACCTATAATAAATACTAATTTGTTTTAGATATGGAAGAAATTATTATTTACCATGAAAACCATGTTGAAGATAGTAGTGTTAAAACTGTAGACTATGTGGTCTGGACCACCAATCAGTCTAAAGTATTAATAGATTTATATAAGAAATATAAACCTAAGGTTGGAACTCTCCAAATAAGAAATTTAAAAAAATTATGGGAGATTATAGCCAAGGAAATAAATAAAAATTTACATATAAATGTGTCCCCGTCGCATTGTGAAAATAAATGGCGTGTATTGGAAAGGGGATACAAAAAGTTCGTAGATAATCAGAATAAAACAGGTAGAGGACGAAAATTTTTTGAATTCAAAGATGAAATGGACAGTATATTCAAAAAAAAACGAAATATTCATCCCGAGATACTTCTATCTGCTACAAAAGTTATTGAAAATGTGTCGTTGACTTCAGATGTAGTTCTAAAGGAGACTGAAACTCAAGAAGTAGAGAATACTGACAGCCCAGTTCCAGTTACCCACACCGCTACATCTGCACCTAATACCAATACAAAGCATCCAATTCTAAATAGAAATAGAATATTGGAAAATATGAGAATAGAGAGAGCAGAATATTATAAGGAAAGGCTCAGTATTGAAAGGGATAAGCTAGTGGTTCATAGAGAAAAACTAGAAGAGATAAAAAGGCGAAATCTATTACTTGAGAAGCAAAACCAATTACTTGAGAAGCAGAACCAACTACTTGAAAAGCAAAACAAACTTAGGGAAAATCCATAAGATTAATTTATATGTATAGTATTGTTTTTCTGAATAAATATTTTGTTACTTTAACTGTAAAAATCATAATAATTAAAAAATAAAGTATTTTAAAATTTTTATTGTTCTAACAAATTTAAAATTTGATTTCGAACTGCAGCACCATTTCTGTCATCAGGTTCATCATCAGGATCATTATTGTCCAACTGTAAATCAGGTGCTGCTTCATTATTGCCTGCAGGATTGTTTTCATATAAAAATTCATCATTTAATGAAATATTATGCAAAACACAACTTGCTCTTATTAAATGTACACAATCAGCTATAGAGCGTAATTTAAGATGGTATAACTGCCTAAATTTTTGTTTGAGGACTCCTATGCAATGCTCTACTAAGTACCGGTTAGCACACAGTTTTGAATTATAATTTATTTGGGCCCTACTTAACTGCCCCCGGTCTCTAAAGGGTGTTAATAAATTGGGCAATACAGGATATCCACTGTCTCCTAATATATAATAATTTCCACATTTTTCTTGTAGTGTCTGAGACAATGGAGAACTGCGGAATACTCGACTATCATGTACAGAGCCCGGGTAACCAATAAATATGTCTCTGATTTGTAATTCATGGTTACATACCAATTGTAACTAAAACATAACATAGAATAAATACATTTTATTACTGTACAGTAAAGAAAATTACCTGAATCGAATAAAATCCTTTTCTATTTATGTAAGAATCTGGATCATCCTTTGGTTTGTCAATCTTGATATGTGTACCATCAATTATCCCAATTACACCTAAGAAACCATTCGTACGAAAGACATTCTCAATTTTAACTTTTTCTTCATCGGTTGGCCATTTTATTATATGACTTGAGCAGTAGCTCAAAAAGTAAGTCACTTTTCGTATCACTCTAGACAAAGAACTTATTGTAATGTTGAAGCGGTCTGCAACATCTCTAAAACTAGCCGTTTGATGGCCTATATACCATAAAAAAATTAAAACTTGTTGCATTGCTGACAATTTACCATATGGTCCTGCATGTATTTTATAGTAGTCACTATTTTGAAACTGTTCAGCTATGGACTCAGTAACATGCCGACTTATTCGAAAATGCTCCTTAAACTCTGTTTCATTGTATTGGGAAACAGTTGTTTCAAAATAGTTTCTATTTTTAGGGCGAATTCTATCTTCCAATACAATTTCTTCCAAGTCATCACTGGAGTCGCTCATAGAGGATAATGACGAATATTCACTGTCACTCATTGTTTTATAAATTATAATATCAAAAGTATAAAACACTAAAATACAATATTATGTATGTACTTAAAACAACAAAATTACCAAAACAAAGGTACCTATTTAAAATTAAAAATAAACAGTGTAGGTGTGAGTACATCAAAATTCGACTAATTGCGCATGTCTGTGATTACCAGTTTGCAAAAAGTTCGGAAACTTTTCAAACTGTCAGGAACTAATTTCAAACTGGTTTTATATTTCATGGAACAGTGTACTTTGTTGACAAGGTATCAGCACAGAATAATAAACAATCAGAAGGGACACTCTCAGATGCCGCCTTTGAAGTTTTTCAGCACGCGCGCCATGTTTGAGGAGGACACAGACATATGATTTGTGTGGTTATGTAATTGTTTATATTTATGTTTAATTATATTATATTTATGTTATTATATTTAACAATGTTAATATAATTGTATAGTATGTCTATGATTGCCGTAAGTCAAATAAACCTGGTTAATTTTTCCATGCACACCACATAATTTCTTTAAAATCCTCCTAAAACATGGCGGAACGTCTGCGCGGAGGAGATGCGCGTACTTAATTTTCCGTGGAGAGTGGGTATTCTGTATGTTTATTATTCTGTGGTATCAGAGAAAATCTTGTTGGAACGGCGAAATTATTATTGCGCATGCGTCTGACAGTCGGCGACAGTTTGAAACTTCTGTAGGAACAAACCTATTATTTATCTATGAATCTAATCGTTATGAAAAGGAGACCAAAAAAGTGGCCTCTGATGGCGGACATATCCGGACATGCAAAGGTGCTAAATTTAAATTTTCCAACACTTGTTAA